AAGAGTTGTAAGTTCTTATAAATGTCCTAAATCTTTCAGAACAATTACTAGCAGGACGACATCAGGCTCAGCTTGATTACACCAACTGACAACTGATTAAGTCCACCCCCTTCAGAACTCGCTCCGCCAGCAAAGGGAGCAGATCGAATGGACATCTGAGAAAGGTCGGTGGGGCTCCCACCAAAAACAACTTTGTAAAGACAAAACCAGCCTTGGGATTTGTGTGGGAAATATCAAACATGCTCCATGCTGGAGAACTCAGAGACTCCCACACTGCTGAAGGCCTGCAGAAGACTATTCAGTAAAAGACAAATCTTCCAAGAAGCTGAGCTTAATTAGTCAGAGGTTGTCTAAAATCAGCACTTGAATTATTCCCCATCCCTCACCAAGCTAAGGACAGGTTCCTCCCCTGTGAATAAGCTCTTCTGAAAGTAAGGAAGCTTTCAGCCCACAAGCTATATTTCCAAACACAAATATGCCCGCTTGCAAACAGTGTTGCCAAAGAACAAAAAACCGGCTTAGATTTTTCTTCTGAGATTAACCCTGTGCCCTTACCTAAGTAAAGGAGGAAAAAAGTTCTATGTGTTTTTTTTAGGGTCACTGAGAAGTCATTTAGGTCTAAGCAATTCTCCCTTTACCATATACTTTCAACTGTTACTTTTTTTTTCCCCCAAATAAGAGGTGTCTCTTGTGGGCTTACTAAAAAGCTATAGGACTCTAATCAGAAATAACATTAATATAAATTGTCTCTGCCATTAAATAGGAAAATCAGTTTTGCCTTTTAAATTTGATTTCTTTTTTAATCATTTACTTAGAACTTAGTTCTAAAGCCTGCATGCATATAATCCTTTCAAATCTATTTTTGTGTTCTATTTGGAGAGACAAATCTGATATTATTATTTGTGATTATCATGCTGACTCTCATAAAAGGCTCATTAATATATTTGGAACGACTAAGGCAGGGAGGCCACCTGTGATTCTTATTTCCCAAAAAGCCACCCATCCTCTAACCCCACAAAAGCTGACATTATTCATGCTGTGGGGAAATAAGTAACAAATATGACTCTCCCTAAAATACTTTCTAACGTGTGTTTTCTTGAGATAAAGGGGAATAACATCATTGCAAAAACCTGTCTACAGCTGAAGATGGGATGTGGTCTACTTTGATCTGGGGGCTGTTTAATCAGGGGGCCGGCTGAGAGATGCTTTCAGACTAAGCTAACCCAAATGAAATTAGTGGTCCTGAGATCATTTCTGTCCTTCCTTTTGTCCCTCACACAACATTAGGGTTTCCCAATGTTCTGACATCTCCTTGGAGCTAGTGCAGTGACAGGGTTCAGCCATGCCAGCAATCCACACAATCTCATATCCTACACTCAGTGAACCTGTTCCCAGCCCACCTTTCACGATGGGGCCCATTCCAACTTAGCAGAACTGACCAGTGTACAAAACTTGCACTAGAGAAAAATATTAAAAATATGACTTAAACATTTACTTTTGGGGCAGCAAAGAAGGATAGAAACTTATACCAAATTTTAAAAAATAGAGATGTTAATGGTCTAGAGATGTTACAGTAACTAAAACTGCAAATAGGCTAGTACCCCCAGGCCATTTTGGAGAAACATTTAAGACTATTCCAAACTACAAGAAATGCTTACCTTGCTGAAATGGGAGGCAGTTCTGTCCCCACTGACCTATGAAAGTCAAGGGCCTAAGTCGGACTACTTCACAAGTATCCCTTCCAAGTTCCAGCTCTTGTTTTTCTGGGACATTGGGACTTCTCCAAAGAAATTGAAAACAAGAGGCCTAAATAGTGCTTTATAATATATCCGTCAACATATAACACAGTGTTATTGTAGGCAACTTGATAAACAACACGAATTAAATGGGAGGAAAAAAGTATCATTCCAAGGTCCACTGGCTTTGCATTTGTCTCATGGATCAGTCTCTAAAGTTCTGTTTGCCTCTTGGTTAATGTGCTCATGTTCCAGTATACAGAGTAAGCTCTTCGGATCCCAGAAAGTTTCTAAAACTGAGTAACAGTGCTTCCACCAAATGCTTTTGAAAAATTCTTATACAATTTTTGTTTTCTTTCTTAGGAGCCCAACTTCTCTGTACTTATGGTGCTCACTCCAACCAGGATATAGTCTCCTTCTCTCTCAAATGTACAACTTACTGGGGCTTAATTCTCATCTGCTAGGAAAAAGAGAAAACACCAACAAATACGTATCTGTGAAGACAGGATTCCTGGCCTGTGCTTCCATGTGCACCCCTGATGATATTAATTCTGGCCCCCACAAAGACAGCTACACCTGAGGCTGGCCAATCCTGCCTCGTAGCCCACTCCCAAGGGCTGCCTCAGTGCAGGAACAGTGGTGTCCGCACACCAGCAGAATTGGCTTCACCTGGGAACTCATTTGAACTGCACATTCTCAGGCCCCATCCCAGAACCACGGTATCAAAAACTCTGGGGGTGGGGCCCAGTTGCCCAGGTGACCAATACCCTCAAGTCTAACCAATGTTTGTCCACTCAGAGCCTGCAGGTGGCAGTAAAAGCCGGCTAGAAGGACAGGAGCAGGCAGCTCAAGTTGTGTTACAGAGAACCTGCCTGCCTGACAACACGGGTCCTGAACAGCCCGCTCAGCCTCCTCCAGTAAGTCCAAAGGTCATAGGACATCTCAACTTTTAACAGGAAGCTGACTGAAATCCTCACAGCCCAGAAGTAAACACACTAAACCTACAATTTTCAGGGATGCAATCGATATTTAATTATTTTGAAGGTTTCTGTGTTTAACACAGTGAGGATACAAACACACCTCAAGAATGAAAATGTCAGGGCACCTGGGTGGCTTAGTCGTTAAGTGTCTACCTTCAGCTCAGGTCATGATCCCAGGCTCCTGGGATCGAGCCCCGAATCTGGCTCCCTGCTCAGCAGGAAGCCTGCTTCTCCCTCCCCCACTCCCCCTGCTTGTGTTCCCTCTCTCACTGTCTCTCTCTCTCTAATAATAAATAAATAAAAATCTTTAAAAAAAATAAAAAAAGAATGAAAATGTCAATACTGGTTAAACAGAACAAAATAAACTCAAATTATCATCAGCCCTTGTGTGTACCTAAATCATAACAATGCCCTTCATTCTGAAAGAATGATTAGAGTTCTGACCCTCAAAATCTCATCGAATTGATGTGACAAAGGCAAGAAGGGGATTTTTCTAACGTAAAGCATGTATCCACGTAGGCCTTTGCTAGATTCTGCCAAAACCCTGAATTTTGCTTTAATGGTTTTAGTATACAAACATGTGTAGTGAGAATGTGGACCAATGGGAACTCTCAACACTGCAGGTGGGAGTGTTTAACCACTTCGAAAAACCAGTTAGCAGCATCTACTAAAGCTGAACGTACAGGTACCCAGAACCAGCAACTCCACTCCTGGGTATACACCTCAGGGAAATGAGTGCCTCTGTCTACCAAAAGCCTCATAAAAGAATGTTCTTAGAAGTGTAACTCACAATAGTTACAAACTGGAAACAATCCAAATGCCCACCGACAGTTGAGGAAATAAACATGGATGTTCACACAATAAAGTATACAGCAATGAAAACACCAACCAACCAATAAACCAAACCACTGCTACACACAATATGAATGAATTTCACAGATATAATGCTGAGTGAAAGAAGCCAGACCTAAAGGAGTACACACTTATCCAAACAGGCAAAACAAATCTCTAGAGACAGAGGTTACTAAGGCTATCTAGCAACAGGCATGAGCTTGCTGAAAAAGTTCTATACCTTGACTTCGGGGATCATTACAGGGGTGTATACATATGTATACATAATGAAAATACAGGGTGTATTCATTGAATTGCACTTAAATTTATATACTGTATGCTATACCTCTTTATAAAGGAAGAACAAGTTAAACATACACACAAAAATTATTCTTGACGGACTGTCACATAATAATTTTCAATATTCATCATAAAAGTCGAAGTTGCTGGGTAACTATAACATCATCAGAGTATTATTTGCTGTAAAAATAATGCATTTGCTGACATAAATCTAAAAATTAAATGCAGTGAGCAAAGGATTTTCCTTATTTCCAATGTTATGCCATCACATCAATGTATCATCCTGTAAGAGGGCCAAACTTTTCTGACTTGCACTCCCTAGTCCCAAACTCCTTTTATTCTGACACTTACTGAAGCCTATCATGTGCGGATGGGCTCATGGATGTTGGATGACTATCCATTTTTTCCAAGCCCCTGCAGACCCTGGACGGCTCATCACCCAGGGGGAGGCTGAAAAGGCTTGGCGCCAGCATTCCTTCATGATCTACCCACCTGAATTTCTTTGAACCACCTTTGTCCTAACCCCTATCACCATCTGGCTTCCCTCCTGCATACCCACCCAAGGCCTGGCCCAGGGCTGGGGCCCTGTTAAAAAAGTGCAGTGTCCGAGCTTTTTCCGGGTCCACTGGATCCGGTCCAGTGGGAAGCCAGAGGGGGCCAGCTGCCGAGTGCGGAGAGCAGGGGACAGCAAACTGCACCCTAAAGCAGACACTCCAGGGCCCCACAGCGTGCCGCGAGACCCTGAGCCCGTGTCGTTCCCCGCAGGCCTGGGCCACTCCTGCGGCCCACCCCAGCAGAGGTAATACGCTCGGTCCGCTTCTGCGCTTTCGGATTTGGGTTGTGAAAACGGCAGCTAGCTGTACCCAGCGACCAAGATGAGTTGAAACGCTTTGGGAAGGGAATCCCGTCCCGGACCCGGGTCCGAGGGGCGCGCAGCACCACTGCCCACGGCGCGTGGCTCCGCGCGGTTAGCGCGACCCGCTGGGGTGCGCGCGTCGGGCCGCGGGCGCCGAGGGCCGACGGGGGGCGCGCCCCGCCGCTCCAGGTGGAAGTCCGGCCGCGCGCCGTCCTCGTCGGCCGCTCCGCGCGCTCTCGGGCCGGGCGGGCAGGAGGCCGGGCGAGGCGCGCCGCCGCCCGGGGCGGGCGTGTTTACCTGGAAGCAGGAATACATGTTGCCGGGCGCGAGCCCCGTTCCCGCAGTCCATGCCGCCTGCGTTCTCCGCGGGGCGCGAGCCCGACGCCTCCAGGCACCGCGGCAGCAGGCCTCACCCGCGGGGCGCGGGGCCTGCTAGGAGCCGGAGGAAAATGGCGGGAGAAAGGTCTATTCCGGGTAGCGCGGCGCGCCGAGGCGCCGGCAGAGCCCAGGAGGCGGCCCGCGGGGACGAATTTACTTTCGTTTCCGGAGCCAGCCACCTGCGCCTGTTAAGTTTTTAAATTTAGCGTCAGGCCGAGGCGGCCCGAGTGGGGGCGCGTCGCCCGCAGGCAGGGGAAGGGTCGCGGCCTCTCCCCTCCGCGGCGCGGCCAGTTGGTAGGTGCTCACCGAGGGCGCCGAGTGACGCGGCGCGCGGGGCGGCCACCCTGGGACGCGGAGGCGGGAGGGGTCGCCTCGGCCCGCGGCGTGGTGGCGCGGCCGGCCAGGAGGTTCCCAGGTGCGAGAGCCGGGGAGGCCGGGTGCCCGGGGAGCGGAGCCCCAGAACCGAGGAACCGCCACCCCTGGAGGGCTGGAGGATTCGCGCACGCCCCGCAGGGAGGAAGAGCCTGCGGCAGGTCCGTGTTTAGGGCAACAGCTCTCCGATCCTAAGCCTGATGTCACTCTTGTCAGTGTATCTTGCTCATCAGTTGCGTTGTGCGTTGGAATTAATGTCGTAACGCCTTGTAATCAGTCCTCAAATTGGGTTTAGCCCTCACCACTAAACAGAAGTGTACAATTTGAGGCTCAAAATACGAATTTGTTATTTTGGAAGATTCTTAGTAATGAGTTAAAAATTGCATTTGAAAAGCGATGTTTAGAAAGAGCCATGAAATTTGGGGATTTAAACTTTGAAAAATAAAATTTTGTTTTGAAAAAGTGGTGCCTGATACAAGGTTTTTAAAAGGAAGATAATAAATGCGTCTCTCGTACTTTAAAGAAAAAATAGGCCTCCCTCCTCCCCCAGATCCCCAATCCTCCTCCCCAGATCCCTAGTCTCCCTCCCCAGGGGCAGTTACTGTTAACAGTTTCTCTTCTGTTCTTCCAAAATTTTTCCATGCACATACAAGTCCATGTCTTACTTTTTTGCCCAAGGGGAAGAATAATATTACATAACTTTTAATGCCCTTCACTTTTCCTGACGAGAGTTAAATCTGGCAGTAGTAGATCTCAGCCTTCTGAAAAGGGTTTTAATTTCAATTCCATTTCCCATGGGGGGTGGCAAATGCAGTTGAAGTCGACTGCAGAACACACCTCTCTGGCTGAGGAGGGACATCCAGGTGCCAACGCTGGAACAGGCAACAGATTAGTGTTTCTCTGATCTCTTTCCTCCCCCAAGATTATACCATGGGAAAAGTTATGGTGTGTAAGCTAAATCCCTAGGCACACCATAATCATTACTAACAGCTACAAGAGAAACGTTACCCACAGTTCCCTCGCTCTGACATGCAGAGTTGTTTTCATTCTTCTCTGATCCTTTCCAGCCGTTGGCTGTATGAATATGTATTTGTTATGTGGTTGTTTTCACAGAGTAAAGACAATTTTGTCTGCTTTTCTCCCTTAACATTGCATAAACATGTTTTCCATGGCATCCAGAATATTGTTAATGGAGACATTATTTCACACCGCTAATGTACCAAGGTTACTTAACCATTCCCTAGTGTGCAATATTTAGGTTATTTCAAACTGTTATTATAAATAATGCTTCAATGCATACTGTCCGTGGACTTGGCTGAAGTTCAAAGAAAGGAACTAGATGTACACATAGCAACATGGATGCTTCATATCAAGAGAAAAAAAAAGTTAGATGCAGGACTAGATTTACAGCAGAATACCAAGTAGATAAATTAAAAACACACATAAAACAACACTATATCTTTTTTTTTTTTAAGATTTTATTTATTCATCTGACAGAGAGAGCAAGAGAGCATAAGCAGGGGGAACAGTAGAGGGAGAGGGAGAAGCAGGGCTCCCGCAGAGCAGGGAGCCTGATGCGGGGCTCGATCCCAGGACCCTGAGCCGAAGGCAGGCGCTTAACCATCTGAGCCACCCAGGCGCCCCGTCACTTTATCTTTTATAACGATACATGCACCTTTAAGACCATGTATCAAACACATAAGGAATGGTCTTCAAAATGGAGGGGAATGGGATAAAGGACAGATAAGGAATGAGGGAGCAAGAAAAATCAAGAGAGGGACCAGGGTGCACATGGGCAACTGTCAACTATGTCTTATGAATGAGAGTATAATTAATTCTCTGACATTTAGGTCCAGGGACAAAAACTTTTTTTAATGTGTTGCAACAAACATTTCTAAAAAATTTCCTTTATCCACTTAAAAAATTTATTTAAGTACCTTCTTGGAAGGCGTACCAGTGGTGATATAGGAAAACAACTTGTCCTCAGGGTAAATAAAATCCAAGGTATTAAGCTTGGAACACAGGGACCTTGAGATCGGGTCCTCACTTGCCCCTCCAGCCACACTTCCCACTGCCTCCCACCCTGTCCACGGTCTGGCCACGAGGACCTGCCCTTGTCACATCTAGCGCTTGACACGGTTCCCAATTCCAGGGCTCCCCTGCCCCCCCACTAGCCTCATTCCTTCACCTTCTCTCTCTCTCTCACCCTCCACCACCGGTTGGCCAACTCTTACTCATCCACCAGGGGCACCTGGGTGGCTCAGTGGTTAAGCGTCTGCCTTCGGCTCAGGTCATGATCCCAGGGTCCTGGGATGGAGCCCCGCATCGAGCACTGCATCGAGCCCTGCATCGGGCGCCCTGCTCTGCGAGAAGCCTGCTTCTCCCTCTCCCACTCCCCCTGCTTATGTTCCCTCTTGCTGTCTCTCTCTCTCTGTCAAAATAAAGAAATAAAACCTTAAAAAAAAAAGAAAAAAGAAAAAGAACTTACTCATCCACCAGGTCTTAGACAATTCCTTCTCTACAGCACTTCTCCTGCTGCCCCCCAACACTTCCTCAAGAATGAGTGAGATGCCTCCAGTCTTCCCAGTTACGTCACTAGGTAGTGAAGCCTAATCCTCCTTCAGTTCCTTGAGGAAGGAAGCATCTAGTAATTCACCACTTTATCCTCAAAAAATAACAATGGCTCTCTCTCAGTACTGTGACAGCACTGTGCTAAACACTTAACTCAGATGATCTCTTTCCATCCTCCACAGCCTTAAGGGGAAGTGTTAGTGTGATCCCCACATTTTACAGAGGAAGAATGTAAAGTTTAGAGAGATCAACTAATTGCCCAAAATGCCCAATCAACAAGTGGCTGAGCAGGAATACCAACCCAGAAGGAGCTCTTCATCTTCCCTCCCTCCTTCCCTGGTGTCCAAGCCTAGGGCAAAGCTTACCAGCACAGCATGAGCTTAGCATGGATCTTTTGAATAAACATGTATGTGTGTAGATAGGCAGTTATGGCACAGTATGACTTGTGGTATTCTTAAGTTTGATAAATAAGAACAAATCTATTACACCCTGTATACCATAAAATATTCCACAAATTAATTTTTATACTAGTCACACTAACATGCAAAGAGACAAGCAGGTCATTCTCCAAAGAACAAGAAACAACAAGTAGAGAATTGAGTGAAGAATCATAGAAGCTCTTCTAAATGCCAGAAGCAAGAGATGTTCGTTTTCTAGTTTAAAAAAGAAAAAAAAAGAAAGGAACTGGGGGAAAAAAATAAGTTCAGAGTCAGAGGACCTTTAGCAATGCTTAGTGGTGGCCAGAGCAGAAAAAGTTCTAACTAAGGGTAGAGAAAGGATTTTTCTCTCTCAGAGATTATTAAAAACTTATGAGGATGCTTTTTTCAAAACAAAATGCAAATGAAAAATTGCATTTATCATCACTTTTATCATAAGAAAAGATTGCTGCCTTGTTTTTGTCTTGTTGCCAAATGTTCATCTTAGTGACACCAGGGAAGGCAACATCAGGCATAAGCCGGGGAGGGGATAAAGGATCAGCTCTCACAAGAGCCAATTGTTTAGAAAGGGGACCAAAGAGTACTAGTGAACCATCCTTTCTGGGGAGAATATTTCCTTTATGTTCACTCTCTTAACCTACCCAGCCTAAAAGTGGATTGTGCTTGTTGCAAAGGGGCAGTGGGCACACATAAACCAGTGAGATCTGCCCGTTCTGGAATAAGAATGTGCGAAACCAAGGCAGAAGAAAAATTATTAGATTTCCTAGAGCCCACTGACAAGTCCTTGAAACAGGAAGAGTGACATTCCCCTAGGGACTCAACTGCCTCCCTATTAATACTTTGCTAAGGGCAAAAGGAAATTCTAGTCCAACTCCCCTCCCCCCGGCCTCCACCCCCAGGATCCTGTAAGTCTACTTTAACATATAAAAATTCCTTTAGAAATTTCCTTTATCTGTACACCCCAAGATATGTGTTGGCAATCACCCCCTAAGTATGTGGCCCACCGATATACATCTCAAGGGTCTCATGACTAAGGTTTTATTAGATGGTAAAAAGGGCCTTTTCCTAACAATAGCTAGTCCCCTCAAGGTCCTGGAAACCTTGCTTCCAAAATTCCGTAGAAACTTAGGCTATCCCTAACCCTCTCCCAACTTGAAAGCAGACATTCGGCCACTCCTCATGACCCCACTGCAGCTCTTTTTGCCCACGGGTCCTGTCCCCGTGCACCTTTTTGCACCAAAGACGTCTCAAGAATTCTTTCTTGGCCATTGGCTTCGAACCCTAACGTCTTTCCTACATCAAGAATAACTGAAGCTATAAGGAAAGGAAGAAGAGCAACCCCTGACATGGAGAAGCTGCCCTGGGGCTCACAGCTGGACCATGTGACTCTCCCAGGAGACATAAACGATTTCCCAGAATACCAGCCTCACACAAGGCTGCCCTGAGACCAGAATAAAATGACACAATGCCAGGCCACTTCATGATTTTGGCAAAGTGCAGACAAAAATGGGTCACTGTGGCATCCACAAAATGCCACACACCTCCCCTCTCAGCCAAAATGAGTGACTGCTACTTCTTTACTATTTCTGGCTTTCTCCTCATTCCAGCTTCCCCTTCCTGTAGATAAGATTCATTGAGATACCCAA